GAATAGCAAGGATTGCTGTTTTTGAATACAATTGTTGCTGGGAAGATAAATTAATTTCTATTAAGGTGTCCTTTTTACTAAAACTAGCTGGAGAGGTGATAAAATATAATAGTTTCAGCTGTTAACTATTCAGATGGTTACAGGTAATTTCAAATTTTATATTTGGGGATGACTAGAGTGAGGAATCTTGACAATTGGAAAATTGGCATACAGCTTTTGCCTTCTATTATAGCAGTATTTAAAAGATTTGTTAATAACATTTGAATCTACAATTGGGTCACATGTGCTGAACAAACCTTTGTTATATTTCAAATATGTACTTTCATAGTTTTGTTTTAAAAACTTACATTTTGGTTTGCGAAGATCTGGCAGTGAATGGATGACTACAAAATGGCAGAATTTTAATTTCTTAAGCAAAGCATAATTGAGTAACAATGATAAAAATGTGAAGAATAAATATTCAATTCATCAGTAAAGAGGTGCTAAAATAATGTGATTATAATAAAGTGCATATATGATTTAAATTTGCAAAGGGGTGAAATAAAATTGTAGATATCTAAAAATATTTGAATTGAAAATTTAATGTGAAACTTCCGTGAAAGAGTCAATAGACCATTTGCAGTGAATATAATCTTTGGACCTTTGAGTAAAGCTTATAGTAACTTTTTCATGAAATGTGATCATTTGAAAAGAAGAGGAAGTTCAAGGTATGCAAGGTGTGAATTTGTGTGATTCTTTCGTATGTACTTCACTGAACTAATTTGTGATATGAAAATTAATTTTTGGAAATAAAAAGTATAATAATAGTAATAATAAGAAGGAATCTCAGAAGTATGTACTTAAGTAACTTTATAAGATGTGCAAAGTGTAAAAGGCAGTCTGAGCCATGGCTTAGTGTGTGTTTCTACAGCTTGACAATTGAGCATAATGAGTTATTAAATTAATAAACATCACATCAGTAAAATATCCCCTGTATAAAATTGATTAATCCAACCTGTAGGAGCTAATTTTTAAACCAAATTCATCCTAGAGAAAAAGTAAATTTCATAAAAAAACTTTATTGAAAGAAATGTTGATGTCATTTTACCCTGTTTTTGCTACCATTGAATTGTTGGTATTAGGATCTCCATAATACTGTAGCCAAGTGATGGAAATAGTAAGCCCTTAATAATAAGAATATGTATTTCCTCCATATCGTGTATTCAGATTACAAATCAGTAAAAAAAGTGTAGAATGTGTCTGCTAAATTTGGCTTAGTTACATTTCCACTCAGATATGGTTCCCATTATTTGTATTTGCCAGAGATCACTAGGAAGAGATAAACTGTAAAAGAATGTAGTTGTATTGATCCAACTAGAGAAATGATTGCTATTTCTTAACATAAGATTTATTATTAGTTCATCCTCAGGGTAAGCAATATTTATACAGAAATGTATTTCATATTAATGTAAGAAATTAAGGTACAATTCGTCCTCATTGTTCCTTATTTAGCTAGTTAAATTAGACAAAATGAGTGAAAAATATTCAAGATTTTTGAAATTTTGTCATGATTGTTTGTACCTACACACACATCATAAAATATCCTGAAGTGTGTGTGTGAACGTTTAAGGTTGGTTTTTTTACATTTTTTGCATATATCTCCATACTATCAACTTAATTATTTGTACATTGCACTTAGTGTTTCTTGGTATGAAGAGAATCTACCAACTAATTCATTCTTTAACATTAATTGAGAATTCATTTTCTGATATATTTTTATATATGGATATATTTTTAATATGCTAAGTTGCATGTTTTTATTTTGTTTAGATTTTAAATTTTAATACGTTTGTACATCTTTCTTTTTAACAAGACTGATGATGGGGACCAACACTCTATCTCCCTGAAATGTAGTCAAACTTTTCTTTTAGAACAGTGTTACTTAATTAAAAAAAATACTAGTGTGTCTTGAATTTTTTTTCTTTCAATTTCAAGTTTGTTATTAAACCTGATAGCCATAGTGGTTTTATATGTAATGTCTCCAAGATAAATCTTGAATATTTTCTGGGTGATTTTGTGTAAGTCACATTCTCGATGAATATGAAGGAGAAATTTGAATGTGTTCTCCACTTAACACGATAGAAGTATGGAACTTTCCCCAATTCCTTAATCATTGGATCCCCTTGTCTAACATTGAATGTCATTTTTCACTGACACTCTGTTTTAGTTGTCTCCCTATGTACATGGTAAACATGATTATTCCATTTTTATTTTATTTTTTGTAATTTATATTTTGACAGTATACACAATCCTTATCAAATAAGCTATGGCTTATCAGAGTCTTACACACACAAGGTAATCTCTGATCCAATGGCCTTGGATACTAACAAATCTACTGCACAAAATAAGTTTTCATAAGATGTAAAATGTTCATGTTTTTTTGTGTAAAATATGTAAATACAGATTCTTGATTAAACAAAAATAAAATTACTCCTATGAATTGAATATATCATAACATCAATATGATAAGGGAGATAAAAATAGGGCTTTGTCAGTAAAACGGTTATAACTTTAAAAGGGTTCATTCTACAACACAAACCTTTCAGGAACTTGGTTATAGGAAATTTTATCTGCTTTGATTTCATATAGAGCATAAATTCTGGTGAGATAAATAGATAAATGCAACAAATGAAGAAAAAGACCCTCAAATCCCTCCCCCCCTCACACTCACACCCACACGTACACACGAAGGGATTTTTAGAATGATGTGCAATAGATATTAATGAACAACCATGTCAAATTTCAAAACACCAGGATTTATTTCACTCAATCACCATATTTTGGTCTAATTTGACTGGCCCAATTGTGAAGTTTTGTTTAATTATTGCTACATATGTTGTCTTTAGAGGAGAATTGTGCTAGTCTTGGTAAATTTAATTTTGTAGACTAACTCCACTAGCAATTGGATACAAGTTGATATGAAAACACACAACTTCTGACATTTATTGTAGGCTACAATGTTCTTCATGTGTAGACTGCGGGGTGAAGTGTGGTTGATGTTAAAGCCTGTATACACGACTTAGTGAATGAATGGTTAATCATCAGAAGAGGTGCCTAGAATATGGGTGTAACTAAGGAAGGCTCAATTTTGCAGAAAAAAGAAGACTCAATTGAAGGATGTAACTCATAAAATACATTAGTGTATATGCTAAAGTGAGAATACAACTTTATTCACTATTTAATGTAATATTTCAATATTATATATGGAAATTATTAGTTTGCATAACTATTCCGGTGGTTAAAGGATTGTTTGGAAAATCTATATTAACAATCAGTTCATTGCTACTTCAATGATGTTTCTGTCAAACATAATTAAGATAAGTTACAAACTGAAGACAAACTGAAATGTAATTACTTTTTATCCTTACATGACTTCACAACAGTGTCGCAGGAGTGAATCTAGGAAGTTTTTCAAGTGGAAGCTAATTTCAGTTCGAATCGTAAATATTTTTGAAAGAACTTTTTAAACATTGTTAGATTGAAAAAAGAAAAATATATTCTTAATATGATGTAATGCATCAGTGCTACATAATTTTTCCTCTCACATGTCGTTTTTGCAAATTTTGTTGGTTACCAACATATTCTGGGCATTCCAACTCTTTACATGGGAATAATCTAATTCTAAGCAATAAATGCTGTTCTTGCAAATAATTTTTTTCCCCTTTCTTTTCTTTTCTTTTGTTTTCTTTTCTTTTTTTTCTTTTTTCACTTTTACATACTTCTGCGATATATTTATTTGATGTTGATAAGATATTGTGATTGTTAATTAAAATTTTCTGCTCTATAGCTTGTCCTTTTTACAAATCAATACTTTGTCTCTGAAGAAGGACATTAGGGTGTTTGGAAGTGTAATTCTTCTGAATTTGTGTTCTCTTCTTAAGATATACAAGAAATTTCGTCTTTTGGAAATATTATGGTGGGTACTTTTGTAATTGTTTCAGTCATCTTGGATGTTTTTGTTGAAGTTTCTAAGATAAGCTTATAATACTATCTTTCAGAAATAGAATTAAGAAGGAAAAATAGAAAAAGGTGTTAATAGGAAGAAATGACTTTTAAATTTTCTCTTCAATTTCATAGTCTTCAAATAAATGGCATGGATTTTTGAAATCTTATCTTCCAATACTTGACTGAAATTATATTTCAGTACTCTTTAGTGTTGAAGCAGCAGTTATAGCAAAAAATTCATATATTTAAAAAAGTAAGTTAAATTGAACTTTGATCTTCTTTTCTGAAAAAAAATTGGTCCTAGAATGCAACAATAAATTAAAAAAGCATAAAAAGGGGGAAAAAAAGTTTAGCCTTACTAATGGGAATATATTTTTGAATTTATTTCTCTTTTTAGCCATTGAAGAGAATCTTGTTTTTACCCAGACCTCTCAGAGATTTTAATTTGTGAATTACTTAATATAAAATATTTATGTAGGTTGGCGAGATGTGGGCGTTTAATGAATAAATTTCTGTTTGGAAAAATGTTTCAAGTATATGAATAGTAATGAATTATTTTCTGGAACCTTACAATTGCAGATACCTCAAATTCTGTAATATTGTTTAAAATAATTTCTTTGTCAATTTAACTTGACTGTTTTTATATAATTTAAAAAATGTTCAACATTTTTTTGTAAAAATCTTAATATATGCTTTACACTTATGTGCACTTATTTATACACACAACTCTTTCAAATGTAATAGGTCAAATAGATCTTTTTGGGGTCAGGACATGTTTATAAAACAAACTTTTGAAATATTCTCTTTATTGTAATTGTTAAACATTGCATGATTTACAAAACAGTGCTTTGGAATTATTTGTTAAAAAATAATTTGTATTGAGCATGATGTGAAAATGTAAATATCTTATTCCTATTATTGTCATACACTGAGGAGTCTTTAATAAAAGATAATTGAAAAAATATTAAATATTATTTCTCATGTAGTTGATGTACCAAATTGTAGATTGTGCAACATTATGTTGTATCCAGTGTGGAGGCTGCAACAGTGTGGCGCAGTCTTCTCTTTCCTATTTCGTACTCGTCTGGCAATTCTACAATTTCCTCTCTAATAGGTACCATTGAATTATGAAATTGTTCTGGAGTGTCTTTACTGCCACTGGAAATACGCTCATGCACACTTGTTGCTGAGCTTAATGAGAATCTATTATCACCCTCTGGTTCCGTCTGGTCTTCAGGTGTCTTGTCAGTATAATCAAGTTTATGAGATTGCATAATTTTGTATGCCACAATTTCTGCCAGAAGCAATAAACCTGACATTATGACACCTATTGAAAGAATAACTAAAACAGGCAATACGTTCTCAAGTCCAACTATGGAATATGGGTTTTCATCCAAAGGTTCCATTTTTGGCCAAAATGTTAGCAGAATTCTCTGGTGAATCCCTTGCTGTTTCAGTTCTTGAAGACTGAAAAAGAACAAGCAATGCTCTGAATAATCATTTTTTGTATATTAAAGTACAGCGAAACCTGATTAAGCAGCCACCTCCACTAACAGTGATTTTTTCGTGAAAGCCATTGATTTTTCCTTAAGACATAAATATTCAGTTTTCAATGGCCAGGCACTTTCCGTAGATCGACTTGCATTAAGCAGTCGCCTTAAGTGATTTTGAACTGAATTACCACAAGAAGTGGAAAAGTGGTGATTCTTGTTGATTTAATATCTTTCGACTATGATTTGTCATAGTCAAATTTGTCAAGTCGAATTTTGACTACGCATTGTTATAGTACTTAGAACAATGACATCCAGAGTTTGTCTCGCAGGGGGTTACTTTCTTTTCTGGTAACACGATTTAATTAATATATTTCATAATGAAACAATAACTCATTCGTTTAACATCAATATTATGGTTTGCTAACTCGTGCTTCCCTTTTGAGATGCTACATTGATGTTGGATTGCAACATGATGCAAATTTGAAAGTGATCTCATATATTAATTTTTAACTCATTTAAGATTTGTCTGAGAAAAATAAAGCCAACAAAGCATCAGTATAATTAACAAAACTTTGATTATCTGTTTCGATAATTAAATAATAATGCAGACTTCTTTATTGATGTCAAAATTAATTTTATTTTTCACCCTTGGTTACTTGGCTATTTTACACTTATTTCATTTATGAGTATCTGAAAATAATTTAAGATTTTATTATGATGGCTCTTTTTTTTCTTTCCTTACGTAAGTCTGTCAGTTTGGTGTATGTGAATAAATTCCTCTTAATCTGGGCTGAGTTAAAGCTCTGTTATTTTGAAAATCATTCATTAGTTTTTGGGGTACTTCACAAGAATTTCAAAATTTTTTCTCAGACTAATCCAAATTTTTTTCTTTATTTTTTTTGTAAGAATAGAGTAAAATACACTTATGGTGGCATTGGTCCAATTTTCAGGGTTAACTGAATTTTCGAAAATTTTGAAATTTTTCCGACAACTACAAAATTAGAGGAGAGCTTTTTTTCCTCAAATTACATTTGTTTTCCATAGTGAGTTCTTTCATTATCAGGCACATTGTTTTGAAAATTTTAGTTTTCGTGCAATATGTGCAATTTAAAAAACAAAACAAAAATATTTTCCCCAAAAACAGCTCCAATTTTTTCTTTAAATTTTTGGTAGAGATAGTGCTGAATGTACTCCATGAAATGACATAACCACCAGCTTGTTCTATTATTTTGTTTTTTCAAAAGTTACAAAAATGTAATTTTGACTTGTCTCTCGCGTTGTTAATATTTACATTAGCGGCGATTTTTTCACATTATTGTATTTATGAGTACACGTGTTTTAAATAATGTCATATAAAGGTTATCGAAAACTCAGCCGTGAAAACTAGGTTCAAAATTCCGCATTTTCAGAAACAATTAAGCGCCATTTTCTCAAAAATGTCTCCACAATATTTCCATTTTACTATTAGGAAACCGAAAATATAAGAAAATTTCAAAATGTTAACATTAGGCAGCGATGGATGGCAAGTGGGAAGAGAAGTGGCAAGTGCGAATAGCTATTAGAGACCGAAGAAAATAGAAAACTAATACGGGAAAGTCTGTGCCATTAAACAGTGCCACTTATTTCAATTGGAAAGTCAAGCCAAGCCGTGAAGACATCGATGTTAAAAAATCATGGACCTGAAAAATATCAATGTTTTGAGAACACCGTCTTCGATGTCGCATCTTTTGTTCGCGAATCCGAACTTTGAAAGTTATTCGTAACTCCGTCAGACGGCCCTGCAGTAAGGTTTTTACAGGATATGAATTGCGTCTTCAAATCTAGTTAGCTTGTTTAATTCGGAGAGGACGGAAAGTGAGTGTCTCGTCTAAAATAATAAGTCAAGGGTGTGTTTTTATATTAGTTGAGAGGAGGAAAATGATCATGAGTATCTTGCTTAAATATTTTTTTCATTTATGGTAATAATTTCATAGCAATTAGCACAATTGAATTTGATTTATGCCGCATGTAACTTTATACCTTGATTATGCGCCATCTCCCGCCCAACTTTTGGCCGAAACAATTTGTGACCGCTAGTCAAGTTTCACTTTACTAGAATTTAATTCACATGCAAAACATTACAATGTATCTTCATTATTTTATTTAGATGGGTTCGTTGGCTTCCGCTGCTGGAGTCAATGCATTCTTGGCTATCTTGGATGAGCCGCGTCTCGGTCAATTGTGCTGACGTTTCGGCCATCTTGCTGTGGCTCTACTGCTGAAGCAGTATAGCTCTGAAGAAGGCCACAGAAAGATGGCCGAAACGAGGCGCGGCTCATTCCGGATAGTCAAGAATGCATTTTATTTAGATATCCAAACAATATGCTATACGTGATTTTTCAATTTTGAATTAACTTCTTTGAATATTTTTGTGTATATATTGCGTATTTATAATTTACCGCGCGCCCTGGACCTCCAAGAACGTTTCGCTGCCCTTTGAGATTATTCGATTGAGGCCTGCACAGCGTTGTGCACTTTGATCTCGAGAGCCACGCACGAGCCACTCGAGTGCAAATTTGAAGACTGAGGTACCAACATATAGAATGAGTAATTCGAACCCATAGCGCATAAATTGAAAGAGCAATCGACGAGAACATTACGATCACATACGTACAGTTAGTAATATTACCTTTTGTATTTTTTTTGAAACTTTCTTGTCGATGTATGACAATATGAAATATGAAACTTCAAAGAATTATACACATTTGATTTGGATACTAAATATTATAATTGCTTATAGGGCTCACAATGTAATTCGCTTTGCTACGATGTAATCACAAATACAGTGTTTTGCTAAACCCAAAATTATGATTTTGAATTGTTTTTGATTGATGATGACAACAATAAACTATTTTTTCAATGTTTAATTGAATTAAATAAATAAATGAAACTATTACATTTAGTGTACCTCAACGTTGAAAAAAAGTGGTCAACCATTTTATGTAAAACGCCATAACGACATTACGAAACTAATGTTACTTTTGCCAGAATTCTTAATTTACTAATGAAAACTGTGACAAAATATATTTTTTAAACCCTAGTTGGTACAGCATTAACAATCGATAAAATCTGTTTAGTAACATTATTTTTCCGCGAAACCATGTCATGATATTTTGCGCTACATTGTATGTTTTTGATGTATTTTTGTATAAAGGGTATATGTCGTTCAATGTTTAAATAAATGTAAGCGGAGGAATTTGTTTTTTTTAAAATTTAATCTTAAAATGTAGGGTGATTTAAAATTGCTATCAGACCCACGAGGTGAGGTTTCTATGAAACGTGATATTGCCATTTTCGGCGAAATTTTTTAAAAAAAGTCGATGTTTTGGGATGATCCTCTTGGTTTGTCCCATCCTCACACCTTACTTACACACACACACATGCACTACACCACCTCATTAATCAGGAGCTTAGATGTCACGGCTGGGGCTGTGTCACACTGGGGAGATACCTGGTTTGGGAAACCCCACAAGTCGACGCTGGCGGAGAAACATCACCATCTTCCGCGATAAAAAGCACTACACTTACGGGACTAACGACCTTAACAGTTGACACGCCCGGAATCACCAATCATTTAATCAATTCGAATGAAAGCAAGTTCACTCTGGCAATACGAAACCCTGGTGGCTTTTGAAACATTGCGTTATAATAGAATGCGCGCCATACGGATACAAAGCACATTAATATAAGCTGAGCGGTTTTCCCCCGCGCGTTGACATACTCTACTGAACGGAGACTGCATGCGCAGTAGTCATTTATGCGTACTACCGCTATTCGGAAAACATCAGGTACCGCAATGGGATGAAGGGATTGGTCCAGAAATGTTTTGTTTGCATTAGTAATTTCTTTCATTGGTTTTCTTCTGTGCTTTCTTTCACGAAATGTAAATTCTATGTGGCCCAGGTTGCTTTTCGAAAAGCGAGAGAGTCGATGTTTTTGCGACGTCATTCAGTTCTACAGACTCCCTCCTCTGAGTTCAGTGAAAGTCCGCTTGCGATTGTTTTCTACAATGCTTGACAGGGACTTTAGATTGCAAGTAACACGTTAGTGACGTGCTTAGCATTGAATACGCGACCCTCACTATTTCTAGAGGCGGGATTTCGGATCTTTTATGGGGGGGGGGGCAAAAGGTCCCCCCGCATAAGATGGTAAAAAGTTCTCTTAAATCCAATGGAATATAAGTAGTTGCACTATAATTCTAACTTAAACATAATATTTTTTTCAAGACTTATTAGCCTCCACCCCACCACCCAACCCCTCTACAGCCAGAGACATTTTTTAAAATTTTAATGTTTCCATCAACGTAACATTATTTAATCTTATTGAAAAATATGAAAGATAACACAATAATTTATACTATCAGAAAAATATTTCTTTTATATTTTCTCAGTGCCAAAACCAAACGCGAAGTAAAAAATAAAATACAAAAAATAATAGTGTTTTAGAACCCTGGGACAGACTTGAAAAAAATCTCATTCTCAAAATCTTCATCAAAATCAAAATCTTCTTAAAACACAAAACGTTATGATGAACTGGATAATTTTTTCCAGATTTTTTCGATTGCTGAGCTGTAGTTAAAAACGCAAATCAATTTTTGCTATTTTAAATCTCATACACAATATATCTTACATTATAATGGAAAAACATAGTTACTAAATATAACAGAATAAAGAATTTCACTCAGGGTCATTCGTATATTTTTGTCTTCTCACGTTTTCAAAAATTGAGAACGCGCAGTTTTTGGTCTCTTAACACACTATCTTCACGCTAGAACTGTGGGATAACAGAAAAGTAGTCGCTCAACTCAGTAACTTTTTTGAATCCGTTTGGCAGCATTGACAAATGACTTCTTTTCAAGATGCGTTAAAGAAAGATGTTTTACATGGACCATGGTCTACAGTTTTCCGTTTGCCGCCTAAGCTTCCATGAAATACA